GGGGGGAGGGGGGAGGGAAGGAGGGAGGGAGAGAGATAGATAGAGACGGAGGCACGAGAGAGGATGAATGGCATTTTCGTAACTCCATCGGAGTCGCCTGCGCTCGTGATTGGCTGAATCAGTTAATTGAGACGAATTCGTTTTATCAACACAGGGGTTAACCATACCGAAGCTGAGTCAAGCATGTTAAAGGGACTCACTTGCCTTTGATTTAAGCGGATGGTGTCGCGTTAATTCCCGATGTAACGACGTAACGTGTCGCCATGTCGTGTGATTCATCGCGATGCGTCTAAATAAATATCGACGTGAAGAGAACGTGAAGAGAAAGGAGGAAAAGAAAAATATATATATATACGAAATAATATACGTAACGCTGCGTAATTTTGCCTTTATGTTCTCAGCACCTGTGTTGCAATTCCCGCTCTCATATATATTTGTGCCTTCGATAAAAATGGCTCTAACGATGTCGACCTTTCTGTATTTCTATATTTGCAATAGTTTCTAATCCGCGGCTTCTGAGATACGGACAGACTGATTATATGATTAGAAATGTTTGCGAAGAAATTGTGGCCTCCGATGGAAACTGAGGGAAAAATTCAGGATCTAATGACATCTCGTGGAAATATCAAGGTTTCCGTTCGCGCGCGCGCGCGCAGAAAAAAAAACCACTCGTCGTCTCCGCTCACGGTCGTAATTACACGATTTTTTTCGCGACAACGCATTGTACGCGTCGCACCGTCGTAAAATCGATCGGCGTTGAATTTCCACGGTGGGAAATTCCCACGTTTCAGGAAAAGCCGGAAGACGTCGTATTCGATTTCGGGCCGTTCCCTCGCACCGTTCTCGCAATCGCGGGAGCTCACAATGCGACGCTTTTCCGCGATAACGTCGTGAAATCGTGAGCCGTTCGGGCGGGAACAAAGAGGCTCTTCATCCCGCTTTCAGGAAATCCACGGTTCGCGAACTACCAGCCGCCGTTAAATTCCCGACCGCGATCAAAATATCGCCGTTTCAGAAAATACACTCTCTTACAGCGCGCGCACGCTGAGGATTAAAATTACACGGCGTTATTATTACGTAACTGCCCACCTCTTCACTATAAATTCTCAATAAAATCCAGACGGTCGGAACGAAGGATCGCGAGGCGTAATCATCGCGAGCGAACGATCGTCTGAAATCGAAGCGCGATGAGTTATCCGGAATCCTACTTGAATTATCGAGAGTGCAACGAAATTACGCGTTGGACGAGCTCAGAAGACGCATCGTTAAATGATCGGTGAATTGGGAGAACGGGTCGTCTAAAACGTCGGCATTTTCCCGCGCAATAATCGGCAGTGGCTTAGCGGAAGAAACGTGGCGGTCGAAAGTGTCGCGCAATCATGACCTGCATCTCGCCGACTCGTAATTCCGTTAAATTTTACACTTCGGATGTTCGGTGATAGAATCGTATCAGTTTACACCCGTCGTTACCGAGAAGGTGGCATTTGGAAGCAATTAATCAGCGTCGTTAATACGGCGGAGCAGCAGATATCTGGTATCGACTCGCGATGCAAATTCGATCGGGTTGCAATTAAGGGAAAAAAAACACATTTACATGACGTGTGTACGATTAAAGAAGTGAGCGTAGCTAATACGATAAACTGCATATCGAGCCTTGTGATCATCACGTGATGCAAATCCGTTGAAATTACAATAAAAAAAGAAAAAAAAACGCACGATATGTGTACGATTAAATAAATGCCAGAACAGAAAGCTGGGCGCATTTTCGCTCACATTCCGCGTCAGCTGTTCGATCTTTCGCCGCGTAAACCGCGAATTCGGCGGAGAGGATTTCACGTGCGCGAATAATGGCATCCCGCAAACTCATCTCGTTTATTATAGACCGACTGCGAACAGCCTGCGTAAAGCACGAGCGGAGTTTCTCGGGATTTATCGGTGTGTTATTCCGCACGCGCGGGACATTTTCCTCCTTTAAAACCCACGTAGTCCAGAAAGAGAGAGAGAAAAAGGAGGAAGATAGAAATTATACGGAAGAGACGCAGGGAATGCCAGATCGTCTCAGCCGGTAGGGGACTATTTTTAAGTTACCGCTTTAAGTACACACTTCTCGTATTGTTATATATAAGTGGACGACCCGCGATGTGTAGCGCGTATATAATGCGCGGAATTAACAAACGTATGATAATAAAGTGAACAAACGTGTGATAATAAAATGAACGGGAAACGACAGAGAAAATTCTACGTTGTGTTGCGCAACGTTGCGAAAGGAAAAGAGAGAGAGAGAGAGAAAGAAACGTCTATTTTAGTCCTAGAGCATGTCCTCCAAAAACTAATAAATAAGTAAACAATTACATAAACCAGAACGCAAGAAAGTAGTATTATCTGCTATACGATAGCAGATAGCAGAGATTACACTCTTACAAAGAAAAGAAGAAGGACAGAAAACAAAAGTAAGAGATTAGAGTTACTTACGTAATACTGTATATGTATACACATACATTTAAATACATATATGCGTACACAACAGATAGAGATAAAAATCAGAATAAAGATAGAACATTTTGAAATAACAAAAAAAAGAGAGAGAGAGAGAGAGAGAAATCGCGTTGAGGATTATTATTGTCGAAAAACGACGAACGCGTGTGCTCCGAAATGCACGATTCCGCGAGAGTTTGCACGCGAGGCACCGTTCCGCCAGTTTTCTTTTCGACGAATTCCTCGCGCTCGCGCGCACGTCACTTACATAAGCTTCCAGTTATTTAAATTAATACTCGGGCCGTTGCAACGTGGAACACTGCACGGGTCCGCAGGCGAAAATTGACGCGTCGTTTTCGGCCGGCCGGTACTGACACAAATACGCGATCAATAAAAGCGGATAAAACAGGACTTCGTCGACAACGAGAAAGCAATTTCGGCGGATTCCCGCGATCGCCCGGCGACAACGAATCGTTGTTTCGTATTTTATTTGTTTTGTTTTTCTCGAGGAACTACCTTTGACGTGTAATCGAGAGGTCTCAGATTAAAATCGCGGATCTCGCGGACAAAAGAAGTCAATTTCAAAGCGACGTTGCCATTCCATCAGATAAATCGATGATAAAAAAAATACACACGTAAGAGCTCCTTTTTAGAAAGTTTGCCACGTCTTTTATGAAGCTTTATTACACGAAATGAGCGAGATGTCAAAAGCGAGCCAATTTTCTCGCATAATAGGTGATTTCGTAAAAACAACACGGAGACTTGTGGAAGAAAGAGATTGATATTTTCCACGGTGTAAAACATCGTGAGAGGTGAAACGCGCAAACGGGCTTTTTAAAGGCGACCTAATTTCTTCGCGCAACACATTTCGTAAAAGCAACACGCAGATTTAAGGAGAGAAAGAGAGAGAAAGATCGATACACCGTGCGCGCGCGCTGGATATATTCAGCGGCGTAAACATAATTAGGAACAGAAAACGGGCGGGTTCGAGGTCGTCCTTAACGAACCTCGCGTTAGTTTCGTCACGATGTCGATTTCTACCCCGGAGCTACTACCGGCGATTGTGACACGCGAAAAGAAGGCTCGCTTCGCGTAACATGCGCGCAAACAACTCTCCGCGGACTCATCGCCAGACGGAAAAATTGATGTATAATTGCAAATGTATCCCTCGAGCGTGTCCCGTCGCCATAATTACCTGGGAAAATACCGGACTGCAGCGAATGAGTGTTTCAAATTGGTCTTCGTGACGAATTGAAAGCTGTACGAAGAATACGGGGGAACTTCCAATTATGCGACGCAAAGATCGATCAGTAAGATGCGTGAGAACGCATTGCGAAAGAGGAAAGAGGGTACAGAAATTGCAAATCGCGAAATCGATGACGGGGGATCTTTGCATTAATGCTGGCAAATTCGACTGTCCGAGTACCCGAGCCTTTCAATAACTGAGTATACGGTCAATTTCAGACATCATTATTATCCGTTATCATTAGGAAAATCAATAATTTGTAACATCTGAAATTAGTCGTATATTCGGTTACCGAAAGATTATGGTAACTGGATAATCGATATTATTTCGCAGCTTTTAAACTCAACGTATTTCATCGGCAGCAACAGCACAAAGAACAAAACTTAGATCGATATAAGTACCGTTACTTCTTCTAGGTAATTCCCATTTGATGCTCTCTCTCTCTCTCTCCTCATAACCGGCACCTTGATACGACAATTAATTTCCATTTCCGCGACATCGCATGTAACAATGACATATTCCGCGATACGCCGCTATCGTCGTAGATTTGCGTGCTTCCTGCGCGTTTCGCGGAAAAACGAACGGGAAAACGTACGCACGTCAAGTGTAAAAATTGACACGCATTATACCGCGAGAATTGAAATTCGAGATTAATAATACCATGCAAGTTACATACCGTGAGATTTTTTGAGCCGCGGAAAATGTATTTTTAACGCGTTTCACACGACTTGGAGGACAAGGAGAAACGGCGACAAGGAAACACACGCGAAATGCATCATGTGCCGTCGTCGTCGTCGAATCGATCTCGATTCCCGCGTAGAGTCGCGAGGAGCGTCCCGGTTGCGTTTCTCGGAGCAGAGATTTCGCGGCAGAGAAAGATAAGCGTCGCGCGGGGGAAAGAGGGAGAAAGAGTGACGGGAAGACGAAGGAGATAGAGAAAGACGGACGGAAAGGGAGCGAGAAAGAACGGAGAAGCAGAGACGAAAGGGAGCGAGGGAGAGAGAAAGAACGGAAGAAGACCATTGTGGCCGAGCTGGGGTGACTCCGGTGCTTCGCTCGGACGAGGCAATTTCGTCGGCTTCAATTTACAAGCGAGTCTGTCCGCGAGGCTGACGCTCGTCGAGATTTTTCCATACCGACTTTCTCCCGACGAGCTTTTAGCTAGACGGGACCGACGCGATGTCGCAATGGTACTCACCTGCACGGCCGAGCGTCGGCAGAGCGAGGATCGCTACGATGAGGTAGCAGAAAACGTCGGCCCGGGTGCTTCGCATGTTTCCTAGCCTGTCCGCTTTTCCTTCCTGCCTTCCCGCTTCACCACTCTCGCCTCTCGTTCGCCGTCACCGTGTCGTCGCCCCGCGCGCGACTCGCGATCACATAATAAAAGACGCGGTTATTCAAAGGTCGTCTCGCTCGGTCCGCTCTTATCAGCCCGTCTCTTTCTTGCGCTCTCGGCCGCTCGCTCTCTCGCAGCCGTCCCCAGTAGGCTTAGAAGTAAACGAATTCGCAACCTCTCTCTGTCTGGCGTGTGTATGCGTCACGAGTCCCCGCTACGCCGGTTCAACGCTCAACGGACGCGCGTCAGCCGGCGCATCACCGTTCGGCCGGCCGCCACCGCTCTTGACAGATAAATGCTACGCCGCGCGCCGCGGTACGCGTTCAATCATCTGTTATTAAGCGACCATTTGCAATTATCGAAGGAAATTGGCGTCGAGGAGTCGCCGCGGCAGCAGCAGCCGCGCTTTCGCCATCCCCGGTCGATCCCAGCTTCGAGAGATCGATCGGAACGAGAGTGACATGCGGGAATTCGCAAGTCGACTTCGAAGCGGCGTTCTTCGTGCACGGCTCATTTCATTGGGTGCATCCAGTATTGTAACCGCTCATTGGGCACTCGGAGTTCTCGCATTTGATTGGCATTTCCTTTCATTTTTGAACGTATACACCAATCACAGATGCAAGAGCTGACGGCGCTCGATAAACGGTGTAGCATTGAATGCACCTATTAGCTACGAAGCGTCTGAAGATCAATTTAAGGTCTTGTATCCACGATGCTAGATCTCGGACTGAATTTAATCGGCCGATTTAACTCGCGTTGATGAAACCGAACCTGAAAGAACTAGGATTTACAGTAATTTCTAGTAATTTTTATATCGGGTCAATAACTCCGTTCGAACACTCGGAGTGAAAACTCAAGTTTAGTGAATCTTGCTCTGATTGGCCAAGTTTTAATTCAATCTTAATCCCAATTATAGTCTGACACAGGCTTAAGACGGTCTGAAATATAAGATCCGACTATGAATACCGGCTTGTTTGTTTACGATTACAGCAATTCGTGTGTGAAAGCGTCTGGATAGGCCTGTAGTAGTGTTCAGAAAATTCTCATTCCGGCAAAAGGATTTGAATCTCGGCTAAATTCGAGATTCGAGTTTTGAGTAAATGCTTTTTTGAGGCACTTTAAACCCGTTACGACTGCTAGACCCGTTACTTTTTTAGTTCCAATGACTCCGCTAGGAACCGTCACTGGTTTGACGAAGAATCGAGCGCGTAGTACGAATCGACGGTATGATTAGACGTACTTCTATTTTTCAATAAGTTAGATCTTTTCTTTCTCGAGTAGCATGATTCAGCGACGAATCAAACATACACTATTCACTTTTCTGTTTATGCAAAGCTGATCAGACGCTCTTCATGTCTTCAAATTTGACAATTTAACGATAAATTGAAGAACTTATGATACTGAATGGTACGACTTCGCGACTAGACAGACGTCTGTTTATTTCCAGGCTGCACGGCTTATGCCTGTTTCTATTTTATTTTTGCAGAAATCATAAATACGTAACAAAAGATTATTACCACGTCGGTTTCTCTTTCTATCAATAAACGATTATTCTATCTGCGAATGCAACTAAATATTATCATCAATAATAGTAACTTATGAGATATTAAATAACTATGCAAAAATATGAATGAAAAGCTGAATTGTTCTTAATGTTCGCAGGATACAATCGCTCATCCAAGCTTAACATTTCTTTTTACAATCGACCGTTCTCCCGTCGATTCTTATTTTCTCTTTTTAAATCGCCCATCCCTACTCGCGAACGATGACAGCGGCACGTGTGGCATGGCGAGTCACGTAACTGTTAGTAACGCCGAGCGAGCGTCGCGCGTCTGCTGATAGTCGAAAACTCGCGTGGACTGACTGAAAAAGCGGCACGATGAAGGAGGAGACCGTTCTGAGCCTCAAGTGGCAGAGTTTCCCATCGCATTTGGCGGTTTCGCTCGACACCTGCTATGAGAAACAGCAATTCGTCGACCTGTCGTTGGTGTGCAAGGACGGCACGATACTCAAGTGTCACAAAATGGTACTGGCCAACTCGAGCAGCTTCTTCCGCCGGCTGCTCGTGGCCAACGACCATCCGCATCCGATGATTATTCTGCACGACATCGAGGCGGACGACCTCAAGACCATCGTCAACTTCATGTACTGCGGCGAGATACAAGTGGTGCAGAGCGAGGTTAGACGGCTGCTCAAGCTCGCCGAAATCCTCGAGGTCACCGGGCTACGGCATATCCAGACCTCGGTGTTGGTCGGCGAGTCGAATCACGCGAGCACCGGCGAGTCTTCGAAAAAGGCCGCCACAGTGTCACGGCTTAAAATAGAGGAGACTAGGAGCCTGTCCGGCAGGAGCAACACCGAGGCCCACGAGATAACCACGAGATCGCAGACTAAGGTAGCCACTCAGGCGAGATTCACCGCGCATTCCTCGATGCACAAGATCACCCCCAAAGGGGCTATGCCCCAGGACAACCCGACGGTCAGGAAGAACGAGGAGATCAGTATAAATGCGTTGAGTCAACGACTGGAGACTGGCAATTCCGGCATCAGCATTGTAGATATTAACGACCTACCGAGCACCAGCAAAGGGCTGCCACAATCCTCCCAGAAGCGGAAAGAGCCCACGGATCCCATCATCAGCTGGCCCACCATATTGTCTGCGATTTCCAAGGATAAACCGTTACCCCTGAAGAAATTGTGCATCATGGACGAGGTGGAGATCACGGCAGGGAAACTCCCGGTGCCAATACAGGACAATAAGCAGGACGAGCCACTGGACAGGAGGAAAGTCAAGAATAGCGCCTCTTTTGATCATGGTATGAAGTACGCAGTCTACATCAAGGATGAAGTTGATCTACTGCCGGATACTGAAGAGGACGTCGACATGGATCCCTTGGAGATTGACGAGATCGACAACGACAACTCGGAGAGTAGCAAAACACCCACGCAAATGTTCCATTACACCCGCCGCTCCAGCAGGTAGAACATTCGTCCTCGCATGAACTATCTCTCTCCTGTGTAAGAGGCTCAAGAGTGTTCAGGATCAACAGTGACTCTAAGAAAATATCGCGCACAGAAGGCTCATTGTTCCATAAAACGCTTTCCTGAATTTAATGTATATTAATATTTATACATGCGTACACACTCACATACATATTACATACATACAGAAAATGAGAGAGAGAGATAGACATATATAACACTCCTTCCAATGGAAGGTTTCTATGAGAGTTAGGACTTTTTATTATAGGATATAAATGTTTTGTTTCGCATTCCTATTGCTTTCATAATAAAGCAATCTAAAGCAGCATTTTCCTCTTCATCAGGTGTGATATCTAAGTAATAATTGATTCTTTAATGTGTGTATGTTAGATTTTTTATATCAAATATATATATTTACAAATATATATATATATATATATACATATATATATATATATATTTGTATATGTATATATATATGTATATTTATAAAAATATATATTTACTTAAGCTCTCGCGTAAACATTTGTCAATACATACGTATTATGTACATCATAGATATATAATATTAACGACCCTTAGCAACTAGACTGTTGTGTTCCTATGGAAGCAGATTGTTTGATACTCTTCTCTGTACAGTGTATACAAAAGGTTTTTACGATTGTTTCTACGGTTATTTTCCATACGAAATGAATATGAAAATGAATAAAGTATGCTGTGATAAAGTAAAACGTGCAGATAGTATAATTAGCAATTTAAATCCCGATAATAGCGTGACGGAGGAGGAATTTCAGAATTTCATGCATCGTGTTAACGAAGTAGGTAAGTGTGTTGTCAGGTTGAATGACGCGTTTCGTTTGCCGAGAAACTCTAACGTGGAAAAGAATGTCAAATAAAAGTTCTGCTCTAACAAATTGTTACCTGTCGGCAATACAATAAGTATTTTAAGCCTTGAGCCTTAAGAAATTGACTAATCACAGTTAATTATCACTTTCGACTGTGATTGGTCAATTTATTCAGGCATAAGGCTTAAAATACTTATCGTAGATCGACACTATTACGTAATAAATAAGCGTTATTTTAACGCTAGCGTATGAAATAAGGAAAGAAAGCGCCGGAGAAACTAGATTTAACGTTTACAGTTTTATCAGTGAATTTTCTCATTCTTTCGTCTTAGAAAACATTGTGAAGAAATTAGCATCTCATGACCCAGACGAGCAAGAATGTGGACGAATCTTAGCTGATGAAATTTTACCAAAGCATATTCAAAGAGAAGTTGATGAAGATGCAGAGGTCAAAATTAAAACTAACCGATCGATGATTAACAAATATTTGGCGGATGAAGATAACTCGGATGATCCGAATAAGTTATCGCAAGGTTAGCTCTGTTTACTCTCTCCTCGCATTATCATCAAACTGGGACAAAGTAGCATATTTAACATTGCCATCCAATCACTTGAATCACCTTTTGTCATTTTTTCTTCACAAAAAGCTGATATATCCAGCATTGTCATCTAGTGGATTTTTTGTTCCATTACATTACTGGAATAAAAAAGGGAAATAGTGACAACAGCTTCTTGATGAAGAAGGTGGCAAAAAGTGAGCCTTTCCCGACATCAAAGTAGCGACGAAATGACATTTTTTGTCAAATTCTAAGAATAATTAAGGTCTTTTGAGCACAAAAAATAATACTCTAATCTTAGCACATAGCGTAAGCAACTATAAATTTGTCTGTTTTATGCAAGCAGAAATGTTTAAGAAGAGTGTGGAGGTCGATGCTAGAAAACGGGCGGAAGATCGCAAAGTCAGGAACGAGCGAGCGGAGACCCTGAAGAGAATCGCGAACGGTGCATTCAAGGAGGGCGATTACGAGAAGGCGGTGACTTATTTCAGCAAAGCGTTGGAGCAGCGCAAGGACTCCTCCGTGATATGGAATAACCGAGCGTTGTCGTACATGCGCCTCGGATTATTCGAGAAGGCGTTGCACGATTGCGAGTGGGCCCTGAAAGTGAACGACTCGAATGTAAAGGCTCTCCTGAATAGCGCTAAGTGTCATACGCATCTTGGAAACACGGAGAAGAGCCGAGAATACATACGGACCGCCAAGGAGCGGAATCCTCACTTCAACAAGTTTATCGAAGGTATCGTCGAGTGTATCAACGTAACTCTCACGCTTTTGCGACACAAAAATCGATGTATTTACAACCTGTTTTGAATTTTTGCAGAATTCGAAACAGATTTGGCGCAATCCATTAACAAGCTCGACAGTGTCGTGTAATCAACGATAACGAAACACGGTAGATTCTTTCTTGAAGGAACAATATTGCAACTAACTTTCAAGATGTAAAACGACGTAATAAATAAGCGATACGCTTGATGCTTTGTGCGGCAGTGTACTCTGTTCGCAATTGGCTAAACGTGGATCTCGAGCAACATCAAGATGGTTGTGTACTCGTCGCATTACTTTCCTTAATTTCCGACAGTGATCTTGGCTCGTGTAGGAAAACTGTACACTCGATTCCCTGAAAGAAGCGCAACGACACCTGTGTTACGTTAATTGTGGTAAGATAATCGCGAAATTGAAGAGCGATATTAGAACGATGTCGGAATTCGTACCTGCATACGCGCTGCTCTTACAAATCCTTCGTTGGCGGAGACGGTGATGCTCTTCATGTTCTCGCCGGTCGCGAACACCAATCGCGATCGATCCTTGATTTTACCGCCCAAGCGTAACTTCATTACCCGTCCGGTGGGCATATCGTCGACGATTCGAATCTTCTTCAACAACTCGCGCGCGCGCTGCGTCTCCAGCGGGCCACCGATAAATTCGATGATGCTCATAAAGTTATCATACGCTGTCCGGCACGCAATAAGGTCTTTGTCGCGAAACAGATTCTCCAGGATCGGCTTTATGGGACGTTTCTTCTCCATCTCGGCCTGTTGCGTAAGCAGCGGTTCCCGATAAGCGTAACTGCTGTGTCCATTGGCCATGTTGGTAACGTAAGCTAATAGCGTCGACACATCCAGATTCAGGAGTTTGATCTCGGTGGAGAGCGCAGACGTGTTCAACGACTGCAGATCCACATCCGGCTTTCCTCCAGTGTCATTGGTGGATTCCTGCGGTAAATCCAGCTCGTGTTCTACCTCCAGAAAAAATACACAACAGTAGACATCAAGTTATCTTTGAACAACGCAATGTTCGACATCTTATAGTCTCGTATTCAGAACGTACGTACAACGATGTTGATGAGTAGATGCTAATAAATCAAGAGACGTGAGCATTCTCATTATTTCGCTCGTATTCTAAATGTAGTGGCGATTTGGAAGAAACTCCGTTGGAGAAAATGTAATCACGCATGTTTATAATAAAATTTCTATTCGAGACTACTGATAGGTTGACTTGTTAGCACGCTAACATCATTGTACGTATGTTCTGAATACAGGACACAATATCTCATAAGAAAGTATACATAGGACTGATAATAGCCCGTGACAACATTACTGGTGATAAAAAAAGTCATAGACCTTAACATAATCTAAATTCTCCTAAATACTTACCAGATGTTGCTCATATTGACTATACAAGTTCTCAGAGTCAGTATCTATCCTCTCTCCCTCAACAATGACACCCATTTGCTCCAAGCGTAACGCTAAAGGGATCTCTATGCCACAAGCAAAGTGGAATATGACATCTGGCGGTCTGTAGTGATGCAGGTGACACTTGCTGCACATTAGATAGGAATTAGCTTGATCTAAGACAGATTTTTGTCCATATTCTCCTTTACCAAGCGATATCAAGGTCAAAGCTTTGGCGTTTCTGGCTATAACCTTTACCCACGACGCACCGTTGTTACACACTATATCTACTTCCAGACGTGACTCCTGATACTTGAAGGGCTTCATCACATTGGTAAGGTTTTTCGCACAAGCCAGTCGTGTTAGCACAGCGTTCAGATGAAACAGATTCGTGCTCTGTAAATGTTCCTTCTTTACCGTCTCTGTGCATTGTATCTACAAGAGCAAATCTATCAATTAAAAAATGGAAAACTAATTTGATCGTTCATAATAATATAAAGATCTTATCGTTAATAACGATACAAAGAGGTCGAAACAAATGAAAATATAAGATGCGGAGTATACAGCTGACAGAGAAACAGAGAGCTGCTGATGAAAGTAGATAAGGGATAACTTAACGGTCACGATGAGCGTTAGTCGATTCCGATATGAAAAAAGAACAAAAAATGGGCAATCACACGGAGCGCACGTGTCTCACGCACTTTTTCCAGAAACTTGATCTCCTGTTGGATCTTTCGCATCAGCTTGTCGACGCCGTCGATCTTGTCCATGAGCATGATCTGCTTGATCATGCCGTGGCCGTCGGCGATTTTTTCACGCAGGCACCCCAGCAATTCGCTTTTGTCGTCCATCGTGGCGGATAATATTCGCCAGCGAGGGAACGACGCGCGGTCGATGAGCGAAAACGCGCCTTCCCTACCGCCAGCCGCGATAATTCCGCGCGGTGAGCACGCTCGACGAGCGTAGTGCGCGCGGCCATTTTGCGCCGCACACAGGCGCGATTTCGCGTAATGTCGTCGGGTGGCTTGTGTCAAACCAGGCTCACAATTAACCTCACACTGACTTTCCGCTCGGTCGTCCTGCCGTCGGTGGTGACAGGTGACAGTCGTCGTCGATGTCGACGCGCAGCTCGACATGTGACGTTACGCGCCGACGACGTTACGCGCGAGGTCTAGAGGAAGCGAGCGACGACGACGTTCCGAGACTGTGCGAGACTGTACGAGAACGGAGCCGTCGCGGCGTGCACGAGATCGTACGCGCCGCCGTGCCGACGACGACGTCGCCGCCGCGGCTCACCGCTGCTCGACCGTCGACGGACATAGGTATCGCATCGCGGCGAAATGTCCAGCGCCAAGGTCATAGAGAATCCAGAAGTGCCGGGTGAGTGTCGCAGCATCCTCCCCGTTTCTTCCGTTCGCCTCGCGACGTCGGCCCTTCGTCGATGAGAGAGTACTCCTAGTCGTGAGACGAAGAAGCGGCTAATCGAGAATATTCGATTACGCGGGCCGAAATCTGGATTCCCGGATCCTCGCGCGGTTCTCGCGTCGGCGGGGATCGCCGATGCGCCGCTCACGAAATTTCCCTCGCGAGCCGCCGGACGAGACGATTAATCGGGCATATTTTGATTGATGAGCGAATTACAGGCATGGCGAAGAGAGCGATACGGATCGTTCGACGTGCTCGCGCTCACGCGGCTCTGATTCCGCGACTCGATCTTCCCTTTGCTTGGCGTTTTGCGGGATATTCGCTGGTGAGGTGTTGAAAAACCATGCTGTGTATCGACTCGGTTGATATAGTGAAGGAGGCTGACCGACGATACTAATCGATACGGTCGGAGAGCGGGTTTTTGTAAAAATGGAAATATCCACGTGTAGGCATAAAATATACCGACGCGGGGTGGCCCCAGCTTCATTAGCGTTCGTCAAGGTCGCGGTCGTATTTAAATAGTAGCTGAGGTACGGAGAAACTCGCCGCTTGCCTCAGAATCCGTAAGGTATTTTAGCGCTCTGAATTAATTAGGATAGGCTGAATTCCGCAATTTACAAATTTTTATCTTTACAAATTGTACCATTTATTCTCTGATCTTAAAATATGGCACTTTCGTGCGTCTTTAAAAAGTCCGTGCTGTCTGGGATATTTCTCGAAGAATAAATGAATAAATTAATTCATTGGATCTCGATTACACACGGAGAGGAATTAGTCTTATAAATCAATGAGGGATATTCTCATATATAAGCGAGAATATTATAATCTTAGAAGATGTTTAATCTTGATTTGATTGAATTTGTATTGACGCAAATATTACTTGCACTCGATTCAAGATTAAAATCTAAGAATATTATAATATTCTTGCTTATTTATGAGAATATCTATTGATTTAAGGCTCCTGGTCTTTCGCTGCAAATTTCCTTGTTTAATGACGTCAGAAGCGAGAAATTATACGCCAAAATATATTACGGTATACGTGAGGATAAAAAAATATACGCACAAAATGGTAATCGTGATCGATTCAGCGCACTTGTAAAAATGTCCGAACGCTTTCCTTTAAGCTGAACAATCAATAATAACCGTAAAATTAACATAACAGAAATGATGAGAAGATAAGTTAAAAACACAAGTTGCATATTACATTAATTTTCGGCTATTTATTGATCGTTTAGATGAAATGAAAGCATCCGGATATTTTTACAAGTGTTCCGAATCGATCACGAGTGTCATTTTGTGCGTATATTCTTTTATTTCTACGTATATTATAATACATTTTACGACATAAGATTTCTCTTCACCAAAAAGACAGCCATCGGAAAGAAAGCCGAAAAATCTCGTGGAAAAATGGAAAAATCCGTGGTTTTTTTTTTCCAATTTTTTGCATTCGTCCGCGAAAAACCCCGAAGAAGAAACAGTGGAAAAATGGAAGCAACTGAATTTTTTCCGAACCCTTAAAATTATATGATTTCGGGATGAAATAAATATAATTCTTACACATAAAGCATATTTTTTCGCCACGTCTCACAATATATATTTTTACAGAAGTCGAGTCGTTGAGGTATGTATAGCCGATCCCGTTCGTTCGATCGCGTAGATATTAGTTAGTGAATATTAGAGGTGGCTAGAACGGGCATCTGAATAAATAACGCCGACACTGTGGCGTCTACACGACGTAGACGTGCGATAAGCTAAATACGTGCCACCGTCCGGGAGCGAGAGATGGATGCATCGTCGCCGGATGTGCAGCTTTATGAAACGATATCTCGTCGATCACCGCGTCGGGCTTTGTGTATCAGCGCACAACTTGCACCGACTTGGCACGAATCAGCGCGTGTGCGTCGCGTATGATGATCATTGAATACACAATCCCGCGTAAATTGCACCAACAGGTGATAAGTATCTCGTCTTTTAACGCGTCGTACTCTTCATCACTTATACACTTACCGTTCGCCGTCACGGGAACAATTCGGTCGGTCTTTATCGTAAATCTTGCGGTCGAAGGCTCACAATTTCGCGGAAGCTGAATATTTAAACAGGTAAACACACTGGTAAACACGGCACATTATTGTAACCCGACCGCATTAGTGAAACTGATGGTCGACCGGTCGTGACTAAGGAAAACCAAAGAAGACCATCCTCGGTCTGCTCGTCGTATTTTAGTCGTCAGGTCGAACGAAAAATACGGCCTCGAGTGTTGGACAGGGATAAATACAAACGTCGGAAGTAAACGCACAATGGACGGTAACGCTGTGTTCTATTCACGCGATTCACCGTGATACAAACTACCGAAGAGCACGTGGTTGCCTCTTGCACACCGCACGTACTATCGTGAAAAATGCTGCCGCGTTGGGTTCGAGGGATTTTCCTTTAATGACCGGATCGTGACGAAAAAAATGCCATTCAAAGTAGCGAAATAACACGGGCCATTGTGTTTACGGCCGGTCACTTTGCCGAGTCATTCGCTTTTACAAAGCGACCTCGTCTTCTTCGACAGTGTGACCGATAATACCGATTCTGACTTGTATATATGTATGTGTGTGTATTAACAGAAGGATGCCCATTTTGCTACCCTGAAGAGGCACGACCCTGACCGCGAGGGTATTTTAATTTTTTTACATTTTTTTCTCTATCTCTCTCTCTCTCTCTCTCTCTGTCACACGATAGGACTTGAATGCTTCCTGCCGCCGCCGCCACCACCACCACCGCCGCCTCCGCCGCCACCGCCGCCACCCCCGCCGCCCAAGTTATCGTCGAGCAGCAACATGCCCACAACGACCCCGCAGCAACAACGATCGGCGACAACGAGCGACAATGCGATGGCCACGTGCGCGCCGGTGGCACCGCCGTCGGACGCGATGCCGCCGAACCTCGGTGGCGGATACCCGAGTGTACCTGTGCCAGCCCCCTACATCTCCGGGTTTCCAACGGTGCAACCGCAAACCCCCGGTCAATCGGCCGGTACTCCCTGGTGGATGTCCACCGACAACGATACGCCGGACATTTATACCCAGTGGTATGAATACAAGGGCGCTGCCCCGGCTATGCCGCCCGCAGCTACGCAGGCCATGACGAAAAGCAAGAATAAATATTACAAACGCAAGAACGAATTTATCGACCCCGCGCAGGACGCAGGTAATTAGAGTCCTCGAACGGGCGCGTCATCATATATCTTCGTCAGATCCGGGTGTCCACGCAAACGCGAGAGAACGAGTCGCTCGTAGTCGTTTGAGCCCTTTCCAGCCTCCCTTCGCCGAACGTCTCTATATTCCGAACGATTGTTTCCTGGAACGTTTTATACCTTTACCTGTGATCTTTAATGCGACATCACGCCGTGTTTTTGGGATCGATATGTATTTCCCTCCCCGGGTCTGAATAGGATATAATGGCGACGGAATACATTGTATAAAGAAAGACGAGCGAGATTTATGACGGGGAGAGTAGCTGTTTTGAGATTGAGGCGGACGCGAAACGAAGTAAACGCTCTTGTAGAGCTGTCGCGTAAAGAATAAAAGACGCTTGTATATAAACGCCCCGTGAATCTAATGTCAAGCGTTAATCCCTGTTTTTATTCTTCAGAGAAAGTGGCGAGCGCTCAGAGGGAACTGTCGGCGCTGATGAAACCGCTGAAATGCGATTTATGCAACGCAGTCGTAAGGCCCGGCTAATCTTATCCAGATAATCGGCAAATTTTGCGCGTAGCTTCCGCGAGAATAAGAATAAATTGATAGATAAAGATGGATACTTTATTGTCCGTGAGAGAGAACGAAGAGAACAACATCGCTATTAGATCCCACGTCGAAGATCACGAGCACCGTGTATCGACGCGAGTCATGACATTTTTTCAGATGAACTCGACGCTGCAAGCGAAATTGCATTACGACGGCAAGCCTCATCAGAAAAAAGTGTCGATGTTCCTCAATCAAAGCGTTAAAAAGCAAAAGACGGAAGACGGCCAAGTGAGCAGCACGACCAATAACGACTGGCAAAACTACTGTGATGTAAGAAGCATCAGACGTTTCGCAGTTCGCGCGTATATTCACCTTGTTGAATCCTACTAATGCACCCCGTGTGCGATCCACATTTGTTAGATATGCAAAACGTGGTTCACGTCGCAGACAGACGCCACGCAACACTACGCCGGCAAAAAGCACATTAGAGCGGCCAACGGTGGACCACGTAGGTACGAATTAGTGTTCCAATCTCCGTAGATGATCGTGTTTCACACAAGGGCGCTCGAATCCACCCCTGGGCTCACCGGTGTAACGCGATGATAATGACGGAGTCAATATTGCACATCAATTGACAGCCTTTTCGTTTTCTCTCTGCGCAGACCGTCGAAGAAGCCGCAGAATCAGTACAATCAGATCGACTCGACCGGACGCTTCGGGTTAGGAATGACGTTTCAGACGGACGCGCAACAACCCGTGCCCACAGTAGCACCCGTGATAACCGATGTCACCACGCCGGTGCCAAATACGGTCGCACCGGCCATGTACGCATCGCCGCCATATCCCACGCCGTTACGTTGCGACTTGTGCGGAGTCTCGGCCAATCGGCAGGATCAGCTGGAAACGCACAAGCGTGGAGCCCGACATTTGAGGATGCTACGGCTTAACGGGCTTCCTGTGCCTGAACCTGGTAATAATCGCGACTGTTAAACACCCCTCCCGGTCGCGTCTGCAGCGAATCACCGATCACACGTTCTGTTTCAGTGGCCGAAAACGAGAACATGCCCGGCGCCGTCGAACCTATAGATTACTCTATTTATCGGACTCCATCAGGTAAGAGTTACTGATCTGTAGAGAAAACATTCTATAAATCAATGATAGATATTCTCATATGTATAAGCAGGAATATTGTCATCTGTTGAATTTCATTTCATATATCGATGCAAGTATTCAAGATAATTTAAAACTTAAGGCCGGTGTTCATAGTCGGATCTTACTGATTGATTACGAAGCATCTGAAGGTAAACTTAAGACGACCTAAAAATTTTCTAAGAATATTGTAATATTCTTACATACGAGAATATCTATCGTTGATTTAAGACTAATTTTTTCTGTACGCAAACAAAGAAACCCTAGTAGCATAATTCATTGGCGATACATTGGTCTGATATTGGGCAACGTTCATTCAATGTATCCCAAATGAATGCCAATACAACCAATATTGGAGCAATGTATCGCCGCCAATGAATTGTGCTAATAGGGAACATATCTTTCTACATGATTACATAATCGACGAGACGCAAATGCAACAATCGTTTTTACCTGATTTTGCAGGACAGTATTATTGCGCGCCATGCAATCTGTCGCTGAACTCGGAGACCACGTTCGCTCAGCATGTCGAGAGCAAGAAACACAAAAATCAATCTAACCCGAAGTTACCAAATGCCGTGGTGGTCGCGAAGAAAGCCCGATTCAAGAAAAAATAAAACCGCGACTACGTCATTACGCTTCGTGCAACGCCACAGCATTCCGGCTGTTTTCTCTCTTTCATGTTTTCCGTTTCTGTCTGTCCATTGTTTCTTTCATTTACAACCTCGCGCTCGTTCCCGATTTCCGTGGATGCGCTTGACTATTTGCGAATGTACGACGGTGTGAGCTCCAACGATCGTCGCGCATTTGCGTCAATGTGTAATAAATCCTGTTCCTTTCGAGATCCTTGGAGTGATTGAAGATTTCGTAGCTGAGTTTCTCGCGCGTTGAGCGCGCCTTCTCTGAAATTCTTTTCGATACAATTTCGTCAGACCGCAAACGAACCGGAAGCGAATATCGCGGATTAAGATCGTACCGAGCGTCTAATGGGAAACGTAAATATGTTAGGACGCGGCGGCATTTAAATTAAATGCCGATTAACTCTAGATTAAATGAAATTCGCGGCAAGTCGAGCGATCATCCGAACGGCGGCTCTAGCTCGTTAAAGCGCGTCTCGACGGTATCGTGACTAATCAGCGACATTTATTCAATTACTCGAGATCATTAACTCGAGCCGTTGAGTTCGCGCGCGCGAGAGAGAGAGAGAGCAATTTGCGAAATCCCGGTGCGAGAGTCTATGCCGCCGCGACTACGTGAAATTTATGCGTCGTTCGGTTAGCTCGACCTTCCGCCGCGGTTTATGGTCGACCGAACGAGTGAGCCGCGCCGAGAGCCCTCCCCTATTAATTACCGTCGTAAGACACGTATGACGGGTCAACGATTCCAGTTTCCTCTTTTTGCCGTCACCTGTCGCGGCTGCGACTCGAATATATCTCCCGCGCGGACGAATAAAAAATGCCGCTATAAAGCGTGAATCAACGATGAAGTACCTGGAGAGACAGCGGCAGCAGCGTTCACGATATCCAAAAATGGCAGGAGGAAGCGGACGGCGTCCTTCGAACTCAGGCGGGAGGAGAGCGGGCGGACGTTCGTCGAAGCCTAGGCGGATGATCTTCGATCACTCGGCGACGGGAATCTCCGCGTGCGAATTCTCACGACGCACTGAAAGAAACGAGAAGACGTCGGGAGACACTAATTAAGCCCGCTGAAAATTCTCGAAGGAAGCGCCCTTCCCTTTCTTCGAGAATTCCGAGACGTCGGTGAGTGACGCACCCTGGTGATTTCTTAACGAATTTCGGCTGCGAACCCGGCGACCTCCGGCTGTTTCTTTCCCTGCGACGGCACCTTTCCAACTTTCTATGGGATCTCTCGTCGCAGCGCGCGCGACCGGAGATTAGGATCGTTCTCGCGCGGACTTGTAGATCGCTGCTTTATACCTGCGCTTTGGATTTTTATGACTCGCCTGTTTCACGTGTAACATGTCCATCTCGTTTTATTTTCCTATCCACTCATCCGCGCCTCCTCCCGACACTTCACGCCCGCCGCATTTCCATTTCACCGTCTCCCACGAGTCCCTCAAACGTGCCAAGACATTGTTCCCCGGGCTTTTATAGCCCGGGAGGAGGGGGAGGGGAATCTAGTCGCTTTGTACCATACTTTGTCGTACAAGCGGAATTCGTGAGAGAAGCACCGCCACGACGACGAACGGCTCTTACTCGCGACGGTGAACTCCCCCCCGTAAATGATGAAACGCCGTTCGATCCGCCGAAATCCAACGACGACGACGGGGCGGAGAAAAGAAAGTTCGCCGTGGATCACACGGCGCGAAATGAAGAAACGTGTTAAACCATTAAGCGGCGAGCCAGCGCGCCGAGACTTTCGGCGATCTCCTGATGACTGGAGAGAATTTCCGAGAAGCCACGGAAGATCGGGGAGTAAGTCGCTTCCACCTGCAATAGGCAGTAGCGGTGCAACCAGACGCCGTGACGAAAAAATCAATCGACCGACCGACCGACCAAGCGAGCGAGCGAGCGACCAGCCAACCGATCGTTCCTGCCTTCGTCGTCGCGCCCTCGTTCAAGGCTCCTACGATCAGACTCTCCGTTGTCCTCTCGAATCCTGCTCGATTCCATCTCTCTCTCTCTTTCTCTCCCCCTCCCGTTCTCGGTGAAACACGCAAAAATCACTTATCGGCCGTGACTACCGAGTCGCGCGGAGAAAAACCCGGCCCGGCTACGCAACGCGAGCTATTAGGAACGCATGAATAACTCGGGAACAGGAGCGAAAAGAAACGTCGCCGCGACGATCGTGATTACTCCGTGGAAACACGGGCGGGTTACGATCGGGCGGCTCGCGTCACAATGCGCGTACGCGTAACGGCGTCATTCCGAAGGGAAAAAACTTTGGAGCCTTGAGAGCGCGTTTTTGAAAGCGGCCGTTTCGCAAGTACATTCGGAAATATAATCCGGGGAACGATTCGTCGGGCGAAATAATGCCGAGGAGGAGATCCCGGAGATCGACGGCGGCGGAATTATATAATTTTTGCAATTACGTGTGTTTATGGCATCGTCCGACCGTACGTTTTTTTAATCATGTATTTCGTATTCTTCGCGCGTCGTATTTCGCGCGCGAAACTCCGAATATAAAAGGCTCCGAATAGTAAAGGTTCTCGAGATTTGCAATTAAATAACAATGAGAGACAAGTGAGAGCCAAGACGTAGATGTTGTAGTATTTTATTGTCATTTGAATAAAAAATTATATTTAAATTTGTTTTTTCGATCAAAATTTTCCGAAGTTCGAGATCTCCCTGAAATTTGCTCTCACTTCATATTAAAGAAAAGATATAAATTATAGATAAGAAGAGTGCATTGTCGGATTATATCATGATACTTATTGAACTTGAGGACTTGATGACATGATGATAGAAATTCGTCGAGTAAAAGTTAGCAAATTCAAAAGTGAAAATGTCAATTGTCTTTAACAAATTAATCATAATTTGAAAATGTATACAAAAATCGGAAAATACGATGAAAAATAATAACTTTGTCTTATCAAGTAGACATAATTACTTTAATCTAGTCTTGGTACAAAGAAAATGCATGTATAAGGTCAAATCTGTACTCTTATAAACTTAGCAACCGAGTAATCGGTGCATACAATGTGCCTGAACTTATCAGAATGTCTATCTGAACTATACCAACAAACTTACAGGACAGTTTGTATTTTTCTGTAATATGTACTAAAGAAGGTCTACATTTCACGGACTGAAACGTCCGATCGATAAATTTGACACATGTGTATAACAATTTAAATTACATCTGCATTTTTGCTCTTACTTGCCTTTCATCGTTAATCAAAATCCCGAAGTCGCAAGTAGAAATTTCACGGAGATCCGCAACGGCTTCTCGGGGGGATACCTGTGTTGTTTCAAGATTACCGTTTTTCGCCGACGTTACGACGGCCGATGAATGAATGGGATTCGACACCTGGGGAAATCGACGGATGCCGAGCGGGCCGTCGTAATCGGTCGTTACGGAATCGCTCGCGCAGAAATCCTCTTCCGCGGTCCCGCAGGACGCTATCGCGGGAACACGTCGATCGATAAATCGTCTCGGATGACCAGAGTTGCGTCGCACCGCGCGTCAGTCGTCGTCTCGCGACCCGGACAGGTTGAGCGATCGCGAGTCCGTCGCTTTAAAACTGAATCGGAACGCGCTCAAGCTCGAGGTGCAAAGGAGAAACACGGAGAGAAAAGAAGCGGGCTCGGCCGAGAGTAGACTCGCCTTTATAAATTGCACCACTATCGACATTTTTCACGTCCGAGGCTACCGTAATATAGCGCCTCGGCTTAACATTACTCCGTACCCGACGTACGCGCGTACACGGTGTCCCTGCCGTGCGCGTTACCGCTCGCGGCGTGACTGCATTCAGCGGAAAACGAGCGGCACGACCGTCGCAGGATTTTCCGCCGAACGATCGCCATCCTTCCGACGAAAAGCAAAGGTACGCTTAATAAGCGCGACGCGTTGCGGTGAGCGTTTGCCAGAAACAGAAGCGCTCGGCACCTTCCAACTAATGTTCAAGCTGTTGGAAATTCGCCGACAAAGCGCTAATGTAACCGGCTTCTGCCGAACGCACAGCTATACGCTCTAGTCCTACTTTTGCCTTCTCGTCGTTGTCGTGATCGCCATTTTTATGCGGATCACGAGCGAAAATATGTTGATACACGGGAAAAACACAAAAGAAAGGAAATTTCTCCCTTGTCCCTCCGGTGAAAAGAGCCAGGGAAAAGCCGCTTCCGCTCCGTATGTTTATTTGCGAGTGTCGCCGAGATTAATTGTTTCACCGATGGTGAATCGGAACGACCGCCACGTTTGGGGCGTGTCATTTTTCTCGACCTTTTCTAACGTCGCTAACGAATGGCTAAGCGAGTTAGCGCCATTCGAACGGTACCGCGTAGAAACCCGGGGAAACCGGAGGACGAAAGAGACTAGAGCAGCTCCTTTGTCCGCTCGATCCCATTGTTCCGGACGACGCGTAGAAAAAAGTTGAAGAAACAACACGACGACGGGGACGCGCACGAATTTCTTCGGCGGCGGCGGCTATGGCGGTTGCCCGACAAATTCGTACAATTATTTCTCGATTAGGAGAAAGGAGAGCCGACGACGCTAGATTAGATCGGCGTTGTTGTTAATGGGACGAGCCTCAGCGACGATAGTCAGTTTCGCGTCCTCCGTCGCGATCCACTGCGATACCTGCCTAATTGCGGAAGCACCGCGGACAATTCCGACATTAATAACGTCTTTTTTCCCTTCGCCACGAGTGGTAAGGCACGAGGGGAGAGAGAAAGAGAGAAGGAAGTAACGTAGTTCATTACGCTCCGGAGGAATGCGGTCCTCCTTAAACAGCGCATTGTGGTGCGTATAACCGTACCGACGCATGACGACCCTATAAATAACGCTAATCACGCTTTAACGCGCCGGGGGGGGATCCGGTTATAGATCAAATAGTTATTTAAGAAAGAGGGGCGAGTAACAACGGGATATGGGTGAGATAATAAGGACGAATTCGCCGCGTTCGAATGGCTAATAAATGCGGCAATCGATACTATCGCGATGAGTATTACGAGCGAAAAGAAGCGGCGCTCGGAATGAACGTAATCTTGTATAGCGCTAAATTAGGAGTTCTCCGCGACTGCAATAAATAATTATAGACTTCTGAGAAAGGGAGAGAGAAAGAAGGAGGAGGGGGGAAGAACGTCGCTCTCTTTAACCGGAGAGCGGCCGCGTACCGCCCGAGAGGAAGTCGAGAGAGCAGGAAGAGGCGGAGGGGGGCAATAAAAACTGATCGGGACGTATCTCGGTGGGACCGGCCTTGGGGCCACCAGTGTAGAGAGTCGAGAAAATAGAAAATCGTGCTGCTCCCTAAATGCGGGCGGTGTGATGTCATGCGGAAATAGTCCGTCTGCTCGCCGCCGCAGCCACACAAGGTAGGGACGATCTCGATCGATCACGAACGATTACCTCCTCGCCTCGGCCACGAAAGAGGGGCCGATGACTCGCGCGGGGCGCTGGAAACCGGTATGATTTCGGTGGTCTCGATTTTCGTGAGCGGAGAGTCACGGAAGAAGAATGCACCTGACGCTAATCGCGCTCGCTCACCGACGCTAATGAGCCACGGAGATCCAATTTTTGGGGCGTTTTACGCCCCGAACGAAACCCTCGAGATACGCGGAGAGAGACACTACGAGGGACCGAGATTACACGGAATATTTCCGAGCGTGACACGCGCACCCTTCCGAGGCGCGTAATCCGAAATCTCTCGTGTTCGGGAAGACGCGCGCCGACCGACACCGTGCGTCTTCTCGACACTTATATCGATCTCTCGGGCTATCACTATCTACCACTTACGAGCCCCTAATAACCATAACTCGTATCGCCCCGCGACGATTACAATTTTCCCTCGTATCTGCCGCAATTATGGCAACTAATTTAATGCTTCCGGCGCGCCCGACGAATATAAGTATCGGGACGGATCGACGGAGATCGCTAATCTTTCTGTTATCGGAAATTGTAATTCAGTTGCGAGCTAGAGCGAGCGAGCGAGCGATGGGAACGGGCCGGATGATTGGAATTTTGTGTCTTCTCATTATTCGCCGAGCCGATGCCGCGCCGAGCCGAGGCGGGAGCTCTTCACACGGGCGGTCTTCTAATCCACCTGTTTAAAAAGCGATAAGAAAAGCCGCGTTTTTCTTTTATCCCGCGCAGCGACTCGATGAAGTTAGCCGAAATCCACCGTCGGAGGCGATAATGCTGTCGACAAGATCGTCCGGATAAGCGGACACGACAGAATCGCCGGGCTTTACACCGTCCCGCGATTCTCTCATTAAAAATGAGACCGATTATTTATTTACGTAGAGAGAGAAAAAAAGAGCGGGGCTCTCTTCGCCGCCGAGTGCGGAGTTTGATTTCATAAGCGAGTAATTGGAAATCAGATTCGACCGCCGGTCGCGGATTCCTTTGATCCCTCGGCCCCATCGGCGCGACCTACATCTTGTCGATTCGTCCGATAACCCGTGGAAACTTGCCGATCGACTCATTGACTCGGAGTGAAAAAGCTCGCGCGAAGAGCTACCAAGCTATGATATACGCATGCTGACTATCGGCGCAAAGTCAAGTTCTCTATTAGCATAATAATACCGATGAAAGAGCTTGGGTCGTGTGACACAGCGGTGCGACGTGGCCGGTCCTCCGGTTAACCTCTCTTTCGTCGGGAGCGGAGACGTGTCCCGATCGGGCGGCACGATCTCGGCGGCGCGGGGGTGCCAATCTCGCGGGCGAAACTCGAACAGATTTCCAGCGACAGTGCCGGCGGCCGGCGTGCGCGGATATATTCGTACCTGGGACATTCCGGATAAATACGCCGGGAACGACCGATGTCACGCCGCCGGTGCGCATGTGCGCGGGTTACACTTGACGGGCTCAAAAAATCAATGACCCCCGCGCGCTCTCGCCACCGTCTCGTTCTATCTCTGTCTTTCTTGCGATTTATTCGCTCTCTCTCTTTCTTTTTCTCATCGTTCCCGTCCGGCAACACGTTCTCGCCAGCCGATTCGCGAAGATCGGCGTCGCGACGCTCCGTCGAGCCGGCGGTACGCATCACGCACGCAGGCACGCAGCACGGGAGGAGAGAGAGAGAGAGAGAAGGAGCGCGTAGGGTCGTCGCGCGCGAGAACGGTGAGAGGAAAATGGCCGGCTGCGCGAAGGGTGCAGTCCGTTGGCGGCGCTAGTGTAAGACGGCCGAATAGCGGTACGGTGGAAACCAGCCGGGCAACTCCGCTGCTCCGGCATCGCCGTCGCTCAGTTCGTGTCCTCTCGCTGCGCACGACGGTCGCTTGCGGTCGCGGTGGCATCGCCCTTCCTTCATTCCTTCGCGTATCGTAACGTACGAGTAGGAGGCAAAAAAACGACAAAAGACAAACGCGCGTGCGAGAGAAAGAGAGAGAGAGAGAGAAAAAATTCAAACGACGGTAGAACTGTACGGACCGTCCGTGAGCCGAGTCAGTGAGAGGAAAGTCCGCGGGGAGAGTCCGAGTTTCGCAGTAAACAAACATCGGGACAGAGAGTGGTGCGTACAACACTAGGGTGTGTGTGTGCGCGTGGTCGGGACGGACATTCCTTCGCCGCTTTTCCGCGAGGTAAGACGCCGACGGACGAGAGGAGGAGAAAGGGCAAAGAAAGATTTCGTCGTCTCATATACGCGCGTATGCCGCGGCGTGCCGGCAACTTCGCGGCGGTGGAGCAGTCTGAAGTGTGAATAGTTGAGTGTCCGTTGAGAAGAGAGAGGCAGCAGCAGTGCGACGCGTTCTTGCACGAACGTGCACGTCGCGCGGTCGGGACCGCGGTGCATCCACGGCTTGTCCTCTCTTCGCGAATTCTCACCGGTCGTACCCCACGTACCGTGTGTACGCGCAAGAGGGAGCGAGAGAAAGAGAGAGAACAGGCGCGAGAGACAGCGCGCGCGAGAGAGGAACGCGTACAACTCTCTCTCCCCGTCGCGTCGCCGCGCCGTCGGTGCACCGTCCGTCCACCTTTCGCGTTGCCGCGAGTGCACGGGATAAAATGGCGCTTGCTTTCGTCCGTGCACCTCTATCGACCGTGACGAACTGTTCGACGGAATCGCGCCGGCATCGTTCGCCGCGGCCTTTCTGAAAGATCAACCACGTCTCCGTGTGCGACCGTCGTCGTGGTCCTTGGTGTCTCGTCTTTTTCGCGTCCCCGTCATTACCGTCGTCGTCGTTCGTCGTCGTCGTCGTCGGCGGCGGCGTCGTCGTCGTCGTGGCCCTTTCTTTATCGCCGTTCCCCGTCGCGGGTGCGAAATCGCGTGTGTGTGCAAAGTGCATCGGCAGAAGAGCATCGGACAGGAGGAGGTATCATCTCGAGTGCGGCGATTTCGGAGCGACGAGTCCGGTGCGGAGTGTCGACCACAGAGTGGATCCTCGCCGTGAGACCTAGGTGAGTCCAAAGTTCCGGCAATTCTTAAACGTCCCCCCGTTCGACGCGGGGGAGGGGGTTCTACTCCGGAGCGGTGACCGACTCGCTGACGCGCGAATGTTGCGAAATTTCGTGTTACGCGCCATTTTCCTCGATACGCCAACGGTGCGTGCATGCATTGTGAGAGAATATCACGGATCATTTTCGTGATACTAAACAATGAGTCAGACGAAATATCACTGATAACGCGATAAGCCGACCTTTATCGTTGCATTTAAGCTGAGCGAGAGAAAGACGCAACTCGGGAATATTTCGAGGCAGGAATGTCGGGTGAGCGAGCGAGCGCGATTCACGCGCGTTACCCGTTACACGTACAATGTGTGGATGCACCGTGAGAGGAATCGCGAGACACCCCTGCGATATTCCACGGCGACTCGCGTAACGACGAGGTATTAAACGATCGGAATCACGGTGAAAGGCATTAATTCGCTTCTCGTTCGCGTTCGACCGTCCTGTAGATTCCGTTCTAGCTAGCGCCTTGCCTCTCGCGCCACGCCGGAATTAAGAAGGTCGTGGAGCAGTCGGAAGGCTCCCTGCACTTTGTCCGGGTGGACAAGTGAACGCGTTTAATGAACCTCTCGGATCTCCCGTAATTATCCCCACGATTACTCGGTCTTCTTTTCAATGAGCCGATGTCGCCGAACGACTGCGAGTTCCTTAATCTAGCGTATCGCGTTAAATCTACGGAGCACCACATTGCACGTTCATTCCGAGAAATTCTTATCGGGTCTTCGCAAAAAGACTCGTTTGATAACGACACTATCCTGTTAGGAGTTTCTGTTTTCGCAAGCCCTACGGCAGGTAAATAATTACAGAAACAAAAAACAACGTTGAAATTTGAACCGAAATTTCACGTTACTTTGACGTTCTTAAGGGTAATTGGCACCTATTTAGACGGCCTATATACTAATAAAAACCTCCTTTGACGATATTGACATTTTTTAACATCTCTTTTGATCTTTTAATTCTACGAATTGAATTTTAATGTTATTTTTAACAACCTATTTTGACGGCTAAGACGGAAAATTTACGACATTATTAGGGTCAAAGTAGAAAAAAGAAATTAACTGCCCATATAATACAAATAAAATTTAATTACCAGATCTAGTTTCTCAATTAATTAAATTTCAATTGTATTACATGGACAGCTAATTTTTACCCGTGGAAGCCAGTATTTAGTTGTGGGAGTTAATTTTTTTTTATGTAAGATTGAAATCGAATCTATTTTGCTATCTTAACTTCTACTATATTATCAAAAAATCAAGAGTTTAACTTAGAATCAAAAGTTTAACATAGAACCAAATTCTCGACTTGAGTATACACGCTTTTTCTCGTCGAGAATACTTCATGCATCCTTATTAAAGTAAAAGTACCAATACCTGGACATGCACTTAAGCCTGGGCATTCTCATTGTCTTGTTTTCTAACTATGAATATCTAAGCTTTCGATCGTGAATATAATACACACATTTAATACATACGTATATTTTATGTTGAAAGCTTAAATATTCGTATTTAAAGACCAAAATAATGAGAATGTCCAGGTTTAGCTGCATGTTCGAGCTTTTACTTTACGCATGAATATCACACTCGTATCGTTTAATTTTGTTGAACTTTGTACCGAAAGTGGCGCAAACAGCAGAACGCGAAAAAGGTTGGCGTTTTTCCCGCGGCGAGTTTCCTGCGAAAGGGCTGAACGGGGAAATATAGCCGGTGGCCGCGATCATGCGAAGAAATTTTCGTGTGACGAGGGTCGCGGCCGACACGCGTGCATACATGTGTACGTACGCACACGCGATGCGCGCCCGTGTACATAGGTAAAACGCGTATGTGCACAGGCGAGCGCGCGACTCTGTGCACGCGCCGAACGTGCCGAAGAACGCGCCTTCTCGCATATCGCGGTGCACAAATACGCGCGGCGTGTACCACACGGAAAATGACAGGCCGTCGGTGGTGCCGACGTGTTTGAGCTCGACTCTACGCGCAAATATTTTACGCCAGCAAACACTCGCCGCGACGGATCGTATCGTAACTTCTCTCTCTCTCTCTTTTTCGCGTTCGCTCTCGCTGTTGCCGAGAGGATTTTCTTCCTCGTCTCGTTACGTAATCCGTCAAACGTCAAAACGGTTCCGTGTCGCGCGCCGCACAGGGTGGCTCAGAGTTAGAGGCGCGCGCCTCGTGTAGTTTTTTTTTTTTTTTTTTTTTACGTATAGTCGAGTAAATCTCCCGTTTTTTGCAAGCTCTGGGAAGCAAACCTCGCCGACCGAAAGAACATCGCCAGCAATTTGGCTCGTCGTGGGTCGTCACGTCGTTGACATCTTCGGCGACCTTTTAATTGTATTGACGCTCGTCAAGTGTAACAATGACGACACTCGAATTCTAATCTGATCGAAGGAATGCGACGGGCGATTCAGCGCTCGCTGTGATTGGCCCCGCTATGTTCAACAAATTAACTCGTTTACACAATCTACGCGGTTTAGTTACCGTTATCCGCCAACACACAAATCGCTTGATTCCGTTTCATTCCCAGCGAACGAAGAAAAGCGACGAACCCGGGAAATCGGAATATCGATAAACGATTTAAATAGAAGTAAATTTGACCCGAAGAGACGGCTCGCATCGACTGTAAATTGCCGGTCAGTCTGGATTCCGGTGTATGAATCCGACCAACGAATGCATAGGAAGAAACGCGAAGGGGCGTTTCCGTAAGGAATGGCCGTGAGAGAAATCGGTCGGTGGTAAATGAATTTTCGTGACGCCGATCTCTCGTCGTGAGTATGCCCGGCGAACGAACGAGCGATCGTTATCACGGTTGACAGTTTAGGTAGAAGGTGTGGTAATCCTACGGTGAACCATTGAGCAAAAAGGGCCGCAACCCTCCGCTTTTCTACCTGTTGGCCTAGGCAGGTAACGCGCGGGACTCACGTACGGGATTCGTCCGGAGTTTGTAGTGCGTGTTCTCAAACACGCCCGAATCACGTTCCCAAACGTGACCGAATCAGACAGAGATGTGCTCTTTTCCGCACTGCGCGCTGCACACGTGTCGAGTTGGCCGGTTGTTGCCTCGCGAAATGTATTTTAGTATGATATCTGTGCACGCGTGTTCTCGTATACTTCGCTCTCTTCCTCTCTCTCTCTCTTTAAAATGCAACTCGAGCAACGTCAAAGCGGCCGTCTGCGGACCTTGACAATTTATATTAATCCCGGACAAGGATGATTTGCGTTGTCGCAACTTTGCTTCCACGCTCGCGCGAAAATCGAGAAGTAAAAACTCGCGACTTTTGCACGCCCCGAAAATCCAAATGGTTTCACACACACATACACACGCGCGCAAAATCGCTGTTTACGAGCCTCGTTATATATGTTATCCAAACTTCTGACGGTTGCGTTGATCACGTAATTCATCCTTTTTATTCCCGATGTTTTTTAACGAAACGAATAATTTTTTTGCTCCATCGATGCACCGTGAAATTCCTGTTTAACCGAGGAAAAACACGCGTAACAACAGAAAACGCGTAATTGTTTAACACGCTCGTTGTCCTCGTTACGGAAAATAATTCGCGCGCCGAAGGGCTCAGAACGGGGAGAGAGAACGCTCACGAGGCGCTGCGAAATAACGACAACTTGGTTTATTAACCATTAAGCCGTCTATTAGCTATCATACCTCGCACAACATTCAGTCTCACTCTCTCTAGTAATATCGGCGTTCGTAAAACACGACAGTTTCAAAACAGTTTCCGCTTCGTTCGAGGCGCACGTTGAAGTAGCGACCGCGGCGACGGCCTCGTTTCACGATATAATCGATTTGGTAACGATTGAGTCGGCCGGCGATTCACGAATACACGCCCGCGCGACTCGCGAAAAACAAGGTTAATAAAATCGTTTAAACACCGTCACGTTCCGCGAGCCCGTCTGGTTTATACACCGCACGTGCGCTCGCGTGCGCGCGCATAATATTTTAATCTCCGAATGCACTTTCCCATTGTTCGATTGTGTTTATGAAGAAAATCCTCCTGTAATTTATTCCGCTCAATTTTTATCCTTTACATCTCCTTGTCTTGTCACCCGAGTGTAAACTGTGATGTAACTGAGCTTGAACTCTGCATCGCTTGTACGTCGTAATGAGATAAATATACAGTAAAACGAAACGCTCGTTGAGCTTCGTAATGTCTTCCTAAAGTTGTACGCACGATATGATACAGTGGCACCGAGCGTATATCTGGACGATTGCAAGCCCGCGAGGTGCATCGGAGAGTTAATTTGCGTGCGCACGTGGAACAGACGACCACGCGCGCGGGTTACTTACAGGGATGTCCCTCGTTTTCCCTCATATTTACGCCGGCGTGACTGCGAGCTTACGCAATTTCATAAATTAATCGACCCGCTTCCGTCATTAGGGGAGTAATTCCATTTTCGTTGCCCTCTCCCACTTCCCTCCCGCCGCCCTTTCACCCGGCCTCGCCACGAATTCACAATGATTAGCCTCAATTTGCCACGTAATGTATAAAAGCCGCTAATTTGTCCCGTATCCTCTTTCTTCCCTCCGCAGGCGGCTCGCTACGCAACTACCGTCTTTCACATGTCGTACCGTATACATGCGCGTGCGAGAGAGAAAGAGTACAAAAGAGGGAGAGAGAAATAAGTCGTCGGCAACGTGAGAACGGATCCTCGATGTTTGTCTCCGCAATCCGATGCTATCCGGTCGTCAAGATCTCGCCTGATAATCGTCGTCGGACCGTTAGACGAAAACGATCGCGAGCCCCGCTGAGATATCGCGTTGCCCTCTCTCCTCTCTCTCTCTTTCTCTCCTCGCTTTTCATCTCGTTCCGCATTACGTTGTAACGCCTCGCACGTAGTAGTATGCTCTCCCAGGGGCGAATCTGCACGGTAATTGATGAAACTTAAGCTTCGAGGCTCGCAGCTGTCAAAGGGTCCCATTTGCGTCTTAGGAGCGCTCAGAAG